CTTTTTTCTCTATTTCTATAACAAAACTACAATAAACAGGCTATAAAACAAAACCTATACACAACATAAGATAGAGAAAAGCAAAGGAATATGGAAACTCAGCCAACAGGGATCACCTGAATACAGGATTTCAATAATTTCAGCAAAATTCAAACAGGCTTGCATGCAAAGTAATAATAAATAACAACGACGCTGACAGCCTCATACACCAAAGAGACGAATAACAAAACCTAAACATAAAACATTCTTACGATACAGAAGAAACAGCAGCCAGTGAAACCTCAAAACACAGGGCCCATGACAGGAAGAGCTGGGACTAACAATCTTGAACACACGCACACACACGCACACACACACACACACGCGCACACACACACACACACACGCACACGCACACACGCACACGCACACGCACACACACACGCACACGCGCACACGCACACACACACACGCGCACGCACACGCATACACACACGCACGCACACACACGCACACACACACACACACGCACACGCACACACGCACACACACGCACACACGCACACACACACACACACGCACACACACACGCACACACACGCACACACACACACACACACACACGCACACGTATTTAGCGTATGTATCTTTTAAGCTAGTCTTCTTTTCTCAGCAGTAGCTGAAAGGCTTCCTTTGTGTAGCATGTCTAGAGGAAATCTGTAAATTGTAGCTGGAAAAAAAACACAACCTCACTCACACTTTCTCAAAACGGGCACTTCTCTGTTACAATTCGATCGTATTAACAGCTTGTTTTGTTCTTTGTTTTGTCAGCTGTTATTCACACTAATCACAAAACATCAGACGTGCTGCACTTTTACCCGCAGTGTGGATTTAGTTCACTGAAGTAATTAATACAGGACATTAAACCTGAATTCGTGGTTGTTAAGATTGTTGTTAAGATCGTCACATTCTGTGAATATAAACTGTGAGCTTACATTGATGTAATGTGTAAATCCTGTAGGTGAGCACGTTTAGCTGCTGCACTTGTCCTGAGAGAAGCGCTCTCTGAGCAGAGCTTCAGCCTCCTGCTTTAAGGCCACTTTGGCAGGACACCTCAGCCTTTGAGAGCAGGGAACTTTTAATCGGTTTTGTGGTAATGGGATGGCCTCTCAAAGCACCAGGGAGTCTCCCAGCTACCACCAGGCGTTTGACACAGCAGTGCTTTGTCTTTGATTGTGCGTCCCAAACCTGCCTTTGTAAAAAGATAAAAAGATCAGTGTGCGTTTCCGAGAAGCAGCAGTGGCTCTAAAAGGCTTAGGGAGCTGAGACACACAGACCACCTCAACTCACCTCCGATCCTCTCTCGTTCTATAGCTCAGCCAGAGAGAATCAGGAAGTAGATTAGTCATGACAGCTTAAAGCCTAAAATGGCTTATGAAAACAAAACAATAGCTGGAGTTACCGCTTGGAAAAAAAAGAAGAGAAGAAGAAACCCTCTGAGTTATTTATCAGCTTAATTTACATATAGTAATATTCTGTTTGCACAGATATAAGTCAGAGAATTATTTAATGTGTTTTCTCTTTGAGTGCACACCTGTAAATCTGCATTATTATCACAGAAACTGCTTAATGATGTGAGTACTTGAAGTAATGTGTTGGTGGGATTTTATCATATTTATCTATTCATGTGTTTTGTCTTTCAAGACATGTCTGATTCAGTTAATACAGCTTAATGCACATGACTGAAACACATTGCATTTAATATACATATATGAATCATCATACTCAGGTTTCAGAGCCCATCACAGCACAGAAACAGCTTATTTTTCTTATGGCCTCTGACAGTGGACTCATCTCTGTGCTTGTCCTGCTAGACCTCAGTGCAGCATTCGATACTGTCGACCATAATATCCTATAAGAGCGATCAGAGCATGCTGTAGGCATCACAGGTACTGCGCTGCAGTGGTTTGTATCATATCTATCTAACAGACTACAATTTGTTCATGTAAATGGAGAGTCTTGTTCACACACTAATTCAAGGTCTTAAATAATCAGGCCCCATCTTATCTTAATGACCTTGTAGTACCATATCACCCTATTAGAGCACTTCGCTCTCGCTCTGCAGGCCTACTTGTTGTTCCTAGAGTATTTAAAAGTAGAATGGGAGGGAGAGCCTTCAGTTTTCAGGCCCCTCTTCTGTGGAACCAGCTTCCAGTTTGGATTCAGGAGACAGACACTATCTCTACTTTCAAGATTAAAACTTTTCTTTTTGCTAAAGCATATAGTTAGGGCTGGACCAGGTGACCCTGAATCCTCCCTTAGTTATGCTGCAATAGGTGTAGGCTGCCGGGGGATTCCCATGATGCCTTGGGTGTTTTTTCTTCAGTCGCCTTTCTCACTCACTATGTCCTAATACAGCTCTCTGCTTTTATTATTATTATTAATCTCTGGCTCTCTTTCACAGCATGTCTTTTATCCTTCCTCCCCCAACCGGTGTTGGTAGATGGCTGCCCCTCCCTGAGCCTGGTTCTGCTGGAGGTTTCTTTTCTTCCTGTTAAAAGAGAGTTTTTCTTACCCACTTTTGTTTTTTAATGTTTTTTATGTATGTCTCTGCATTTCTGAAACTTGACGAGATTTGTTTTAACAGCAGACACCTTGTGTGTAGGTTAGAGGACCTGCTCATTTCTTCATTGACATTACACAGCATAACACAGACATTGTGGCAGCCGAGGTGCACATACAGCAGTAGTTTACACAAGTCTGTCTGTAAATTAATGCTGCCATCTGCTGCTCATATATGGAAACTCTTACGTTTCAGCTGCCACATACTGTACCTTGACTTAACACTATTAACATTAATTCATTTTTGAAACGGCCACTCACCAAACACTATAACAGTGATTTTGACAGTCCAGTGGAATTTGAATAGGAAATAACTGTAGGCAGAGGCCACACTTAGCAATGTTTATTTTCTGAGTTAGGGCAAACTGTAATATGACAAATGGATTATTTTACATAGTACCTAGTCGAGTGGCAGCTGAAGTCATGTTATTATGGAGGTATTCCACCCAAGACAACTGGGAACTCCAGAAAGAGGGGTTAGTTAGAGCAGCTTCAAGCTCCTGGTTAAACCTGTTTGATCATTAGATTACGGATGGAAGCCTGAGTCAAGGTTTACTTCAGCTCCTAAAGCTGAGCAGAGCGCATCAGAAAAAGAGTCCTTTGACATAGACTATATTATTTTGAAACAAAATGGAGACAAAACACCTGTACTACCACTGCTTCTTCTACTGCTTCAGAGGCATTGGAAATTTTTTTCCTTGGTTAATTATGTGGCCTGACCTACAGAACCCATCTATGATGGTGTGAACGACTTTTTACGCTGGAATGGACAGTAACAAGAGTTATATGTGAGAATAGTTCATTAGGAACCAACAAGGGCTGGAGGAGTTCTGCGAGGGGTCGGAGCTGCTGTTGCTTCTGGCGCAGAATAAACAGACTGCAATATATTCCTTTGCATCTTTGCCTGAGAAGACAAACAACCTAAAGCTGACCCAGCTACCAAGTATACATTGCAAATTTGCGCTAACCGTCACTCTATAGCCAGCTTTGCTTTGTATTCAGGGATTTTCAAAGTGACCTACACAAACTATAGCAACTAGCTGTAAAGGAAATATAATTTCTCTGTGTTGTCCACTATTTAAGAACAGTGATTAACAGCACATTCTTCTTTTGTGGCTTCTGTAAAACTCTTTAACGGATTCTGGCAGAATCATTCATTGTATGCATCAATATATTGTAGTATGAGGAGGAGAATTTCCAGGTCTGTGCAGTAATGCTTCCATCTGCAGGTCACATCCAGAAGCTCTTAGGATCAGCTGGGAGTTAAGATCAGCTCTCAGCTCTCAAATCCACACATAGATTAAGCGTATTCCCACATCTAAAAGAAACTACTGTGTCAAAACACTTTTTAGTCTAAGGCTAGGCCAAACAGAGTCCTAAACTTCAAAGTGAAATTAGGCGAGATCTTGTATTTCTCTAAATGTCAGAGTCACTTTTTCCTTTACTTTAAAATTACCATGATATGAGTAGATTTTGGGTGGCATGGTAGTTAGCACTGCTGCCTCACAGCAAGAAGGTCTTGAGCTCAATTCCACTATCAGGCCCGGGTCTTTCTGTATAGAGTTTGCATGTTCTCCCGGAGTTTGTGGAGTCTCTCGGGGTACTCTGGCTTCCTCCTGCAGTCCAAAGACATGAAGTTGGTGGGGATTGGTTAACCTGGCAACCTGTACAGGGTGTACCCTGCCACTCACCCTAAGACATCTGTGACAGACGTCAGATATATATATTATATATAGATATATATATAGATATATATATAGATATATTGCCGACATGTGGCCAACAGTAATGTTTTAATGTTCTTCATTATTAAACATTCGCACATAAATAAGTGACGTCATATTCAGTACTTACTTTTGACAGGTCACTCTTCGGCCACTCCTTTCTGCCATATTTTGCAGCAAAATTATCCACACCCACCGCACTATGAATTGTGGGATATATGGGACCACGAAGCGTGCACCGGACCATGCTTGATATTTGGGGAAATCGAAGGCGCATTTGGAGTATGCATTTGAAGTACACATCGAATTGGGACAGCCGTCGTCGCGTGGTGGTGACGTAATCGCACTCAAAATGCGTACTTCAAACGTGCGGTCTCTTAATTGGGACACAGCCATAATGTCAGAGACGCTATCCGGTTGTTCAGTCTGACGTCACTAGCCGTGTCTGGGTCTAAACTCCGCTGCAGGTCCACATATCAAACGATCACTATGGCATTACTGAGAGTTGAAAAACTGTCTAAAGTCTTTCATCTTTAATAAAATGATCAGCGTTCTGCTCTCCCAGGTGTAACAATTGAGTTTAACATCCAGGCATCCATGAAAACGGAATTTATGACATTTAACGGAGTTAGAAGTTAGCAGGGAGTTAGCCCGCTAGCTTCTATCTATACTATAAAGACACATCTCCTGGATGCACTGGTACGCATCTTCAGTGATGTATCCTAGGGTCATCAGGTGTTTCGGGTCTCACAACATCATACACCCTCGCCCAGGCGACCCAGCCGGGGGTGATCAAGCCCCGACTTGCGTACCAGTAGCTACCCACGGATCAGCCCTCTTGATCCACAGCCACCTTGTGGCTTTCTCTGCCGCTTCACTCACAGCCTGGATGGCCCTCTTCTTGGCTGCCCCAGCCACGCCCAGCCGCCCTAGGGCTTTGCAGAGTGATCGTCCTGCAAAGCCCCTACAACCCACTTCTATGGGCTCATAGAAAGTCTTCCAGCCCCTTCCCCTGCACTCCTGCACTAGTTCCTGGTACTTTCCTCGTTTCCTTTCATTGGCCTCCTCAATCCGCTCTTCCCAGGGCACTGTGAGTTCCAGCATGATCAGCTGTTTTGAGGCCTCAGAAATAATTATCATGTCTGGCCGGAGTGATGTTTTTGCAATGTTCTGAGGGAACTTTAGTTGTTTACCCAGGTCAGCCTGTAGCTGCCAATCAGAGGCTGTGTTGAGGAGGCCAGTTGTCAAATGTGGGCGCACCTGGGGTTTCTCTCCAGCCTTAATAAAAGAGATTGCCTTCCTCGGAGCATGATGATGCTTGCTGGTGCTGATTGCTGAGGCAATCTTTTCAGCAACTACTCTGAGCACCTGGTCGTGCCGCCAACGATACCGACCATCGGCCAGGGCCCTTGGGCAGCTGCTAAGGAGGTGTTCTAGGGTCCCTCTTCCAGAGCACAGGGGACAGGCAGGTGTCTCGCTCTTTCCCCACAGATGGAGGTTTGCTGGGCTTGGCAGAGTGTCGTATACTGCCTGCACTAGGAATCGGATCCGGTGGAAGTCTGCCTGCATGATGTTTGCCCAGGTGACCTTGCGCTGCAAGGTGCTCTCCCCCCTTGTCCATGCTCCCTGCCGCTTAAGGCCTACAGCTCTACTTACTCGCTCCTCCTCCACACCTGCTCGGACCTCTTCCTGGAGTAGCTGGCGTCTCTCCTTTCCCTGTGCCCTGCTGACCTGGGCCTTTGGGACATACCCAAGCCTGCTCCCCCTGTTGCTAAGACCCCCATCAGTGTTTTCTGCCTTAGGCGTGACTCCGCCACCTCAACTGCCTTCTCAGCCTTCCACTTTCTTCCTGTCCTTACCTCAATACCTGCTAATGCCACCTTGCAGTCTTTAGAATCTCTGTACTGTAGGGCTTCTCGTGTGCGAGCCACCTTGAACTCTTCTGTGAGACCACTAAAGGGTAACTGCACGCTGTTGCTTGTCCCATACAAGGCAGCGCTGGTGAGACTGCGGGGAAGTCCCAGCCACTTACGAAGAAAGCCACTGATCTTTCTTTCAAGGGATTCCACAGTAGTTATTGGAACTGTATAGACAAGCAAGGGCCACAGGATTCGGGGCAGGATTGAATGCTGGTAGATCCAGGCTTTAAATCTTCCAGGCAGGCCGGACTTATCCACCTTAATAAGCCACGCTCCCAGCTCCTCATTTGCCTTCTGAATAGCAGTAGAGTCTTTCAGGCTGGAGTCAAAGAGTTTCCCCAAGCTCTTAACTGGTTGTTCCGTTATGGATGGAATAATGGTTCCTGAAATTGAGAACCGGAACTTGTCCGTCACCTTGCCCTTCTTCAGTACCATCGATCTTGACTTGGAAGGTTTAAAACTCATCCTTGCCCATGAGATGAGTCTCTCAAGACCTTGCAAGATCCACCTACACCCGGGAACTGATGATGTTGTAATGGTGAGGTCATCCATATAGGCTCTGATAGGGGGCTGACGAACACCTGACCTTGTTAACGGCCCTCTGCACTCCACCTCCGCAGCCTTTACCACCATGTTCATTGCCAGGGCAAAGAGCGTAACTGAGATGGTACAGCCTGTTATTATACCTTTCCCGAGTCGGTGCCAATCTGAAGTAACTGCCCTAGAAGTGACCCTAAGCCTGAAATTGGCGTAATAGTCCAGGATCAGGTCCTTGATCTTGCTGGGAACATGGTGGAGGTGTAAAGCATGCTCAACCAGTTTGTGTGGGATCGACCCATACGCATTAGTCAGGTCCAGCCACAATACAGCTAGGTCGCCTCTGTTCTCATGGGCTTCTCTTATAAGGTGTGTAACTACACCAGTGTGCTCTAGGCAACCAGGAACTCCTGGGATCCCCCCTTCTGAACTGATGGATCAATGTAATTGTTTCTAAGGAGAAACTCGGTCAATCTCCGGGAGACAACGCTAAAAAACACCTTCCCCTCCACGCTCAATAGCGAGATGCTCCGAAACTGGTTTATGTTTTTCGAATCCTCCTCTTTGGGAATCCAGACTCCCTCTGCGCACCTCCACTGATCAGCAACTCTCCCTCTCCGCCATATCACCTTTAAGATCTTCCACAGGTGGCGAAGCAGCTCTGGGCAGCGCTTATAGACAAGGTAGGGTACGCCACTGGGACCTGGGGAGGATGCTGAGCGGGCTGCTTTGATGACCTCACACACCTCCTTCAAACTTGGCTCCGTCAACTTGAACTCTGCTGATGGTGGGGCAGGGTTGATGAGAGCTTTGTTTGGTCCCAAGTCTTGTTCCCTCAATGGGTCACTCATTGTCTCATGAAGGAAGTTATTCACCTCCTCTGCTGAGCACTCCAACTGCCCACTTCGCTTAACCCCAAGCAATTGTTTGGAAAAGCGAAAGGGATCAGCAATAAAAGCTGCACGTTTCCTGGCTCTCTCTCTTCCTCGCCTTCTGTGCCATTCTGCTCTACGGAGGGTAATCAACTTCTTCCGCAAGATGTTATGCAGTTCCTCTAAAGCTTGCTTCTCCTCCGCATCAGCGTTCTTGAACTGCTTCTTAAGGCTCCTGAGCTCCTGGCGCAGTTGATGAATCTTCATGGCCCTGCGGTTCATGGTGTAAGGGGTCTTGTTGTTACACTTCTCGATCAGGCCGAACCTTTCTGAGGCGTAGCTGACTATGATGGTGGTCATTGTTTTAAGCCTGCTGTCGGCATCTCTTTTGGCCACAGCTTGTATGATGTTGGAGACATCCTCATCAAACTTCTGCCACTCGCTCTGACTGCTGGCTGGGGGCCACTTAATCCGCTGTTGTGGAACTACACTGCTTGGATTGGAAGAGTCCAGTGCATGGAGGGACTGGGCTCTGTGGGGTGCCTCCTGGCCGGGCTCCTCCTGCGTCTCACCAGGTTCAGGACCTGTGCGTTGCACCTCACTCTCCCGCTCCAAACATTTCATTCTAGCCTGATGGACCTTTAGGCCACGCTGGTTCTTACACAGCTTGCCGCAGATACATGTCTTACTCGTAGTCCTTTCCATTGCGTTGGTCGTTAACCTTAAGTCCGTCCGATTGGAGACCTCATCCTCCCCCCCTCTCGGGATCTCCTGGGGGTATCTTTCTTTAGGGCTTTCCGTAGCTTTTTGGGGTGCTTTCTCACGAAAACTGCAGACCGGGATGCTAGCCCACCCTGCCCCTGGAGCCGTCTTTCCGAGCTGTCATCTGTCTCTCCAGTCGTCACCAAACTTTCTTGGTTGTCACCTAGACTCTTCCTAGGCGTCACTGGCTCAGCCAGAGTTTAACTATAAAGACACATCTCCTGGATGCACTGGTATGCATCTTCAGTGGTGTATCCTAGGGTCATCAGGTGTTTCGGGTCTCACAACATCATACACCCTCGCCCAGGCGACCCAGCCGGGGGTGATCAAGCCCCGACTTGCGTACCAGTAGCTACCCACGGATCAGCCCTCTTGATCCACAGCCACCTTGTGGCTTTCTCTGCCGCTTCACTCACAGCCTGGATGGCCCTCTTCTTGGCTGCCCCAGCCACGCCCAGCCGCCCTAGGGCTTTGCAGAGTGATCGTCCTGCAAAGCCCCTACAACCCACTTCTATGGGCTCATAGAAAGTCTTCCAGCCCCTTCCCCTGCACTCCTGCACTAGTTCCTGGTACTTTCCTCGTTTCCTTTCATTGGCCTCCTCAATCCGCTCTTCCCAGGGCACTGTGAGTTCCAGCATGATCAGCTGTTTTGAGGCCTCAGAAATAATTATCATGTCTGGCCGGAGTGATGTTTTTGCAATGTTCTGAGGGAACTTTAGTTGTTTACCCAGGTCAGCCTGTAGCTGCCAATCAGAGGCTGTGTTGAGGAGGCCAGTTGTCAAATGTGGGCGCACCTGGGGTTTCTCTCCAGCCTTAATAAAAGAGATTGCCTTCCTCGGAGCATGATGATGCTTGCTGGTGCTGATTGCTGAGGCAATCTTTTCAGCAACTACTCTGAGCACCTGGTCGTGCCGCCAACGATACCGACCATCGGCCAGGGCCCTTGGGCAGCTGCTAAGGAGGTGTTCTAGGGTCCCTCTTCCAGAGCACAGGGGACAGGCAGGTGTCTCGCTCTTTCCCCACAGATGGAGGTTTGCTGGGCTTGGCAGAGTGTCGTATACTGCCTGCACTAGGAATCGGATCCGGTGGAAGTCTGCCTGCATGATGTTTGCCCAGGTGACCTTGCGCTGCAAGGTGCTCTCCCACCTTGTCCATGCTCCCTGCCGCTTAAGGCCTACAGCTCTACTTACTCGCTCCTCCTCCACACCTGCTCGGACCTCTTCCTGGAGTAGCTGGCGTCTCTCCTTTCCCTGTGCCCTGCTGACCTGGGCCTTTGGGACATACCCCAAGCCTGCTCCCCCTGTTGCTAAGACCCCCATCAGTGTTTTCTGCCTTAGGCGTGACTCCGCCACCTCAACTGCCTTCTCAGCCTTCCACTTTCTTCCTGTCCTTACCTCAATACCTGCTAATGCCACCTTGCAGTCTTTAGAATCTCTGTACTGTAGGGCTTCTCGTGTGCGAGCCACCTTGAACTCTTCTGTGAGACCACTAAAGGGTAACTGCACGCTGTTGCTTGTCCCATACAAGGCAGCGCTGGTGAGACTGCGGGGAAGTCCCAGCCACTTACGAAGAAAGCCACTGATCTTTCTTTCAAGGGATTCCACAGTAGTTATTGGAACTGTATAGACAAGCAAGGGCCACAGGATTCGGGGCAGGATTGAATGCTGGTAGATCCAGGCTTTAAATCTTCCAGGCAGGCCGGACTTATCCACCTTAATAAGCCACGCTCCCAGCTCCTCATTTGCCTTCTGAATAGCAGTAGAGTCTTTCAGGCTGGAGTCAAAGAGTTTCCCCAAGCTCTTAACTGGTTGTTCCGTTATGGATGGAATAATGGTTCCTGAAATTGAGAACCGGAACTTGTCCGTCACCTTGCCCTTCTTCAGTACCATCGATCTTGACTTGGAAGGTTTAAAACTCATCCTTGCCCATGAGATGAGTCTCTCAAGACCTTGCAAGATCCACCTACACCCGGGAACTGATGATGTTGTAATGGTGAGGTCATCCATATAGGCTCTGATAGGGGGCTGACGAACACCTGACCTTGTTAACGGCCCTCTGCACTCCACCTCCGCAGCCTTTACCACCATGTTCATTGCCAGGGCAAAGAGCGTAACTGAGATGGTACAGCCTGTTATTATACCTTTCCCGAGTCGGTGCCAATCTGAAGTAACTGCCCTAGAAGTGACCCTAAGCCTGAAATTGGCGTAATAGTCCAGGATCAGGTCCTTGATCTTGCTGGGGACATGGTGGAGGTGCAAAGCATGCTCAACCAGTTTGTGTGGGATCGACCCATACGCATTAGTCAGGTCCAGCCACAATACAGCTAGGTCGCCTCTGTTCTCATGGGCTTCTCTTATAAGGTGTGTAACTACACCAGTGTGCTCTAGGCAACCAGGAACTCCTGGGATCCCCCCCTTCTGAACTGATGGATCAATGTAATTGTTTCTAAGGAGAAACTCGGTCAATCTCCGGGAGACAACGCTAAAAAACACCTTCCCCTCCACGCTCAATAGCGAGATGCTCCGAAACTGGTTTATGTTTTTCGAATCCTCCTCTTTGGGAATCCAGACTCCCTCTGCGCACCTCCACTGATCAGCAACTCTCCCTCTCCGCCATATCACCTTTAAGATCTTCCACAGGTGGCGAAGCAGCTCTGGGCAGCGCTTATAGACAAGGTAGGGTACGCCACTGGGACCTGGGGAGGATGCTGAGCGGGCTGCTTTGATGACCTCACACACCTCCTTCAAACTTGGCTCCGTCAACTTGAACTCTGCTGATGGTGGGGCAGGGTTGATGAGAGCTTTGTTTGGTCCCAAGTCTTGTTCCCTCAATGGGTCACTCATTGTCTCATGAAGGAAGTTATTCACCTCCTCTGCTGAGCACTCCAACTGCCCACTTCGCTTAACCCCAAGCAATTGTTTGGAAAAGCGAAAGGGATCAGCAATAAAAGCTGCACGTTTCCTGGCTCTCTCTCTTCCTCGCCTTCTGTGCCATTCTGCTCTACGGAGGGTAATCAACTTCTTCCGCAAGATGTTATGCAGTTCCTCTAAAGCTTGCTTCTCCTCCGCATCAGCGTTCTTGAACTGCTTCTTAAGGCTCCTGAGCTCCTGGCGCAGTTGATGAATCTTCATGGCCCTGCGGTTCATGGTGTAAGGGGTCTTGTTGTTACACTTCTCGATCAGGCCGAACCTTTCTGAGGCGTAGCTGACTATGATGGTGGTCATTGTTTTAAGCCTGCTGTCGGCATCTCTTTTGGCCACAGCTTGTATGATGTTGGAGACATCCTCATCAAACTTCTGCCACTCGCTCCGGCTGCTGGCTGGGGGCCACTTAATCCGCTGTTGTGGAACTACACTGCTTGGATTGGAAGAGTCCAGTGCATGGAGGGACTGGGCTCTGTGGGGTGCCTCCTGGCCGGGCTCCTCCTGCGTCTCACCAGGTTCAGGACCTGTGCGTTGCACCTCACTCTCCCGCTCCAAACATTTCATTCTAGCCTGATGGACCTTTAGGCCACGCTGGTTCTTACACAGCTTGCCGCAGATACATGTCTTACTCGTAGTCCTTTCCATTGCGTTGGTCGTTAACCTTAAGTCCGTCCGATTGGAGACCTCATCCTCCCCCCCTCTCGGGGTCTCCTGGGGGTATCTTTCTTTAGGGCTTTCCATAGCTTTTTGGGTGCTTTCTCACGAAAACTGCAGACCGGGATGCTAGCCCACCCTGCCCCTGGAGCCGTCTTTCCGAGCTGTCATCTGTCTCTCCAGTCGTCACCAAACTTTCTTGGTTGTCACCTAGACTCTTCCTAGGCGTCACTGGCTCAGCCAGAGTTTAACTATAAAGACACATCTCCTGGATGCACTGGTACGCATCTTCAGTGATGTATCCTAGGGTCATCAGGTGTTTCGGGTCTCACAACATCATACACCCTCGCCCAGGCGACCCAGCCGGGGGTGATCAAGCCCCGACTTGCGTACCAGTAGCTACCCACGGATCAGCCCTCTTGATCCACAGCCACCTTGTGGCTTTCTCTGCCGCTTCACTCACAGCCTGGATGGCCCTCTTCTTGGCTGCCCCAGCCACGCCCAGCCGCCCTAGGGCTTTGCAGAGTGATCGTCCTGCAAAGCCCCTACAACCCACTTCTATGGGCTCATAGAAAGTCTTCCAGCCCCTTCCCCTGCACTCCTGCACTAGTTCCTGGTACTTTCCTCGTTTCCTTTCATTGGCCTCCTCAATCCGCTCTTCCCAGGGCACTGTGAGTTCCAGCATGATCAGCTGTTTTGAGGCCTCAGAAATAATTATCATGTCTGGCCGGAGTGATGTTTTTGCAATGTTCTGAGGGAACTTTAGTTGTTTACCCAGGTCAGCCTGTAGCTGCCAATCAGAGGCTGTGTTGAGGAGGCCAGTTGTCAAATGTGGGCGCACCTGGGGTTTCTCTCCAGCCTTAATAAAAGAGATTGCCTTCCTCGGAGCATGATGATGCTTGCTGGTGCTGATTGCTGAGGCAATCTTTTCAGCAACTACTCTGAGCACCTGGTCGTGCCGCCAACGATACCGACCATCGGCCAGGGCCCTTGGGCAGCTGCTAAGGAGGTGTTCTAGGGTCCCTCTTCCAGAGCACAGGGGACAGGCAGGTGTCTCGCTCTTTCCCCACAGATGGAGGTTTGCTGGGCTTGGCAGAGTGTCGTATACTGCCTGCACTAGGAATCGGATCCGGTGGAAGTCTGCCTGCATGATGTTTGCCCAGGTGACCTTGCGCTGCAAGGTGCTCTCCCACCTTGTCCATGCTCCCTGCCGCTTAAGGCCTACAGCTCTACTTACTCGCTCCTCCTCCACACCTGCTCGGACCTCTTCCTGGAGTAGCTGGCGTCTCTCCTTTCCCTGTGCCCTGCTGACCTGGGCCTTTGGGACATACCCCAAGCCTGCTCCCCCTGTTGCTAAGACCCCCATCAGTGTTTTCTGCCTTAGGCGTGACTCCGCCACCTCAACTGCCTTCTCAGCCTTCCACTTTCTTCCTGTCCTTACCTCAATACCTGCTAATGCCACCTTGCAGTCTTTAGAATCTCTGTACTGTAGGGCTTCTCGTGTGCGAGCCACCTTGAACTCTTCTGTGAGACCACTAAAGGGTAACTGCACGCTGTTGCTTGTCCCATACAAGGCAGCGCTGGTGAGACTGCGGGGAAGTCCCAGCCACTTACGAAGAAAGCCACTGATCTTTCTTTCAAGGGATTCCACAGTAGTTATTGGAACTGTATAGACAAGCAAGGGCCACAGGATTCGGGGCAGGATTGAATGCTGGTAGATCCAGGCTTTAAATCTTCCAGGCAGGCCGGACTTATCCACCTTAATAAGCCACGCTCCCAGCTCCTCATTTGCCTTCTGAATAGCAGTAGAGTCTTTCAGGCTGGAGTCAAAGAGTTTCCCCAAGCTCTTAACTGGTTGTTCCGTTATGGATGGAATAATGGTTCCTGAAATTGAGAACCGGAACTTGTCCGTCACCTTGCCCTTCTTCAGTACCATCGATCTTGACTTGGAAGGTTTAAAACTCATCCTTGCCCATGAGATGAGTCTCTCAAGACCTTGCAAGATCCACCTACACCCGGGAACTGATGATGTTGTAATGGTGAGGTCATCCATATAGGCTCTGATAGGGGGCTGACGAACACCTGACCTTGTTAACGGCCCTCTGCACTCCACCTCCGCAGCCTTTACCACCATGTTCATTGCCAGGGCAAAGAGCGTAACTGAGATGGTACAGCCTGTTATTATACCTTTCCCGAGTCGGTGCCAATCTGAAGTAACTGCCCTAGAAGTGACCCTAAGCCTGAAATTGGCGTAATATCTAAATACAATATAGCATGTCCTGACTGCGGGGTTTTGGAAACAAATTAAAACGTACAGCTCTGTTATTACTTCCAGCATAAATGAAGACAGAAAACTAAACAGCAGTAACGTTTGTAGGGTTACTGAAGTTGGGCTAGCTGGTATATAATGATGTGCTGCGTGACCGCTAGCGACACAGCTAAGTTAGCATAATATAAACAAGCTAACTTTTTTTTCCACTCGATAAAAGTTACCGTGAGTGTTCTCGGTGGTCAGGAACAAATGTAATCGCATGGCAGGATGCTGTAAAAGGACCAAACTTCAGCCAGGAGAACAACTGAGATAATCCATCCACAATACGAGGTTAGTCATTCATATACTGCTGCATGGGCTGGGCTGTAGTTACATCCTAAGGTTTTAAAAACTGAGCTTAAATAAATGATTAGCGGTAATAAAAGCCGAGGGAGGTCAACAGTGATCACTGACTGTTTTAGGAGCTTTTTGAGATCAAATAGAAGAAAATACATAACATTAAACATGTTAACAACACAAAAGCCATATTAAACGCAGACTACTTTAGACCCGGAAGTAGGATTCGTCGCGTCATCACTGAACAACCGGATAGAACAGTGGTTGGCAACTCCAGGCCTCAAGGGCCAGTGTCCTGCAGGTTTTATATATCACCCTGGGTCAGCACACCTGAATCAAATGATTAGTTCATTACCAGGCCTCTGGAGAACTTCAAGACATGTTGAGGAGGTAATATAGCCATTTGAATCAGCTGTGTTGGATCAAGGACACATCTAAGGCTACGTTCACACTGCAGGTGAAAGCGCATGAAATACGATTTTTTTTTTTACCCTATTCGACCCATATCCGATCATGGTATGGCAGTGCCCTCGAGGCCTGGAGTTGCTCACCCCTGCTATCCGGTCATTAAGTCTGACGTCACTAGCCGTGTCTGGCCCTAAACTCCGCTGCAGGTCCATATATCAAACGATCACTGTGGCATTACTGAGAGTTGAAAAACTGTCTAAAGTCTTTCATCTTTAATAAAATGATCAGCGTTCTGCTCTACCAGGTGTAACAATTGAGTTTAGCATCCAGGCATCCATGAAAACGGAATTTATGACATTTAACGGAGTTAGAAGTTAGCAGGAAGTTAGCTCGCTAGCTTCTATCTAAATACAATATAGCATGTCCTGACTGCGGGGTTTTGGAAACAAATTAAAACGTACAGCTCTGTTATCACTTCCAACATAAATGAAGACAGAAAACTAAACAGCAGTGACGTTTGTAGGGTTACTGAAGTTGGGCTAGCTGGTATATAATGATGTGCTACGTGACCGCTAGCGACACAGCTATGTTAGCATAATATAAACAAGCTAACTTTTTTTCCACTCGATAAAAGTTAACGTGAGTGTTCTCGGTGGTCAGGAACAAATGTAATCGCATGGCAGGATGCTGTAAAAGGACCAAACTTCAGCCAGGAGAACAACTGAGATAATCCATCCACAATACGAGGTTAGTCATTCATATACTGCTGCATGGGCTGGGCTGTAGTTACATCTTAAGGTTTTAAAAACTGAGCTTAAATAAATGATTAGCGGTAATAAAAGCCGAGGGAGGTCAACAGTGATCACTGACTGTTTTAGGAGCTTTTTGAGATCAAATAGAAGAAAATACAAAACATTAAACATGTTAACAACACAAAAGCCATATTAAACGCAGACTACTTTAGGCCTGGAAGTAGGATTCGTCGCGTCATCACTGAACAACCGGATAGAAGGACAGGACACCTGCCCTGGGATCCACATATACTCCTATGCAGCAGATTTAACAGACACACTGCTGTTTGTAGATTACAGCTCAGGATTCAATACCATCGTTCCCTCGAAGCTGGACAGGAAACTGCAGGATCTAGGACTGAGCAGCTCCCTCTGCAGCTGGATCCTTAGCTTCCTGTCTGACAGACGCCAAGTGGTCAGACTGGGCAGCATCACCTCATCCCCCATCACACTGAACACTGGTGCTCCACAGGGGTGTGTACTGAGCCCTCTCCTGTACTCACTCTACACCTACGACTGCACAGCCACTAACAGCTCCAACATCATTGTGAAGTTTGCGGACGACACTACAGTGGTGGGTCTTATCACCAATGGTGATGAGACGGCTTACAGGGAGGAGGTCAGCGCCCTGACCCACTGGTGTCAAGACAACCATCTCACCCTCAACATCGCAAAGACAAAGGAGTTGATAGTGGACTTCCGGAGGTGCAGAGAAGTACACACCCCCATCACCATCAACGGCGCTGCTGTGGAGAGAGTGAGCAGCTTCCACTTCCTTGGGGTACATCTGGCTGAGGATCTTACGTGGTCAGTACACACAAACAAAACAGTGAAGAAGGCGCAGCAGCGCCTCTTCTTTCTCAGGAGATTGAAAAGATTCGGCATGAGCCCCCGCATCCTCAGGACCTTCTATCGCTGTGCCATTGAGAGCATCCTCACTGGATGCATCACCACCTGGTACGGCAACAGCACCGCCTACAACTGCAAAGCTCTCCAGAGAGTAGTGCGGTGCTCTGAACGGATAATTGGAGGTGAGCTTCCCTCCCTCCAAGACATCTACAGGAAGCGGTGCCTGAGGAAAGCGGGGAGGATCATCAAGGACTCCAGTCACCCCAGCCATAAACTGTTCAGACTGCTTCCATCAGAAAGGAGGATCTGCAGCATCCGGTCCCGTACCAGCAGACTGAGAGACGGCTTTTTCCATCAGGCCATCAGACTGCTGAACACGTCATAGACACCTCAGCTTCACTACTGGAACTTCAACATTATGCACTCCATACTGTACAGTAACGCCACTGTTTTGCACATGTCTCAACTCTGTATATTTTTATAATTTTTTTTATTGTTTACTCTATTTAATTTGTAAAATATGTATACACACACACACACACACACACACACACACACACGCAGAAAAACATATTTAGTATACACATCCAGAAATGCATATACTGTATGCATATATATATATATTGTACATATATTTATTAGTTTCAAATTTAGCCATTCTTGTATTTTGCTTGTTTACATTATTGTATTTTGCACAACTCTGTTGCTTGTGAAGCTCGCACACAAGAATTTCACTCACATGTGCTGTACCAATGTACCTGCACATGTGATGTGACAATAAAAGTGATTTGATTTGATTTGATTTAGTACTGTGTGTAAAATGCCATCAAAAAGTCAATTAAGTTTTATTCTTTCTCACCTGTCTTTCTATCTCCTTTCACTTTTTAAAGGTTGCCATGTTAGAAAAAATATCTTGCCCTGCCATGCTGTTTATTGATGTGGCAAATGAATGGTTTATGAAAATATATCTAAATCTGTCATCAGTAATCAGTAATGATCATGTCTCACCTCTAGTCTTCTCTGTCTTAATTTCAGGTTTTCACCATGTGTTGTAGATGGTTCAGGAGGTTAACTCAACCAAGCAGTCTACTTTCGGGTACTGTTTAGAATACCAGAATAGGGAGGATGGTGTAGGTTTAAGTTTATTAGACTGATACTGTGAAATGCACTTCACACACGCACAGTTCTTTGTCGCCAGAGCGCAGACATAACGGCCCGTTATTAACGGGCTGGGGAAACGTGGAATAAAACACGAGGGGAAACAAGGCACAGGAACTCAGATCTATATGACTACAGATACACAGAGGGAGACACAGGAGCAAAGACACAGGAAATCTAACAACCAAAAAATAAACATAAAAACCTAGTGATTCAGACTAAACTTTAAAGTAACAAGGTGGACTCAAACCATAATACAAAAGGACAAAACACAAGAAACTGAAACCGCTGGGTCATAAGACCCAGGATCATGACACATGTCATATCTGTGGTCATCACAAGTGTTACAAACACAATAACGAATCAATAAAATGTGGCATGTCCTGATTTAATACATGGATGGCCTGACTGAGGGTAGAAGCTCCTCTTCAGCCTCTCTGTTCTTGCCCAGATGGTGGGGAACCTTCTGCAGATGGTGTAGAAACTGGACCGGTTTATTGCTGGGGTGGAAAGGGTCCTTTAGTATCTGAGCTGCTCTGGTCCTGCATCTTTTGGTGTAAATGTCCGGTAGGGAGGGGAGAGCAGCCCTGCAGCAGCGTTCTGCTGTACAGATCACTCTCTGAAGAGCTTTTTTGTCCTAGACACAGCTGTTCCCAAACCAGGATGCGACGTTCTGTGTGAGGATGCTCTCTACAGTGCCTGTATAGAAAGTCCTGAGGATCACTGGAGAGACCCTGAACTTCCTCAGTTGTCATAGGTGGTATAAGCACTGCCACAAATTCCTTTTTAACATTCAATAATTATTGTTAAACATGATTTTTTTCTAAGAATGTACAACTGATTTTATATTATTATGGGTGTACTGAACGCATCATTACAGTTTTCTTAAAATGCTTAAAAAGTGAAAGGAAGAAGTAAAAAATGATTGAGAAAAGAAATGATTGAGAAAGTTCATGAATGATTCATACAGTGCGACGGAAAACCTCACAGTATAAACCGTACAAAACTAATCTCACATTTTGATTAATAATACATGTGCAAACACTGGCATTCATTATGACTGATGCTACTGATTTCTAGTTCCTGTGCACAAAGAAATCTATCAGATTTTAATCAATATTTCATGTTTCCCCGTGACACTTGGCTTAAGATGATGGCATTTGATCAGTGAGTAAAGGAAAGAACAAGATGGGTTCACAAACCAATGAAGACGGTCTACTTTATCTCATTAAATGTAGCAGTGTTGTCAGCCCAAAAACTCTTCCAAATCCACAGTCCAGCATAGAGCGGCTTAGTGAATGTGGTCTGGACTCTGTGGAGGAGGGCCATGGTGTCAGAGACGCTGTAGAAAGAAAGAACACCTGCTCTGGGATCCACGTACACTCCTACTTTGGAGGACAGAGGGCCTGAGAGGGGAGTTGTGATTTTATTGTGTCTGAATTTGTAGCAGTCACCGTAACACTCTAATGCCCAGGATTTATTGTTACTTCCAAAATCACTTTGATCCAGTTTATTTTTATTCTTGTACGTCACGGCTACTGAAAGGCCTTTCCCTTTCATCTCCACTTCCCAGTAACAAGGTCCAATCAGACTCTCCTTACTCAGGACCTGCTGGTAGTTGGAAAACCTGTCCCTTTTTTTATATCCAGGATAGATATTTGGATTTGGAGCACTGTCTGATACGGTTCTGTTCTGATTAGACAGGAAGAGATTTTTGTGGACTGTATCTGGGTCGATCGTCAGTTGACATGAATATTTTAAAAACTCATCTCTGGTCTTAGGTTCAATTTGTGGCAATAAAACATCCACTGATCTCACTGTCAGAGTGATCTTCCTCCATTCCTCACTTAGAAATGCTTTGAGATTTTCTCTGGCTTCTAACATTGCTGTTTGCAGATCCTCAAAGTACTTAACTTGACACATTTTAAAGCTTGGTGAATCTGTATATTCACTGAGTTTTGACATCATGGAGTAACTTAGTAGAAATTCGGTGTGGTCCTCTGTGCCTGAAAGCTGCTTCAGCTCCTCTTCTTTCCTCCTCAGCTCAGTGATCTCTTGCTCCAGCTTCTTCTGAAGCTCCATGACTCGACTCTCTTCAGTTTCCTGCTGGGATTTGATCTGCTGCTTTAGATTTGAGCCTTTTTCTTTAATGTAACTCAACAGCTCATCGATGATGGCATCACTGTCTTCAATTGTTTTATCAGCAGACAGTTTGATCCCCTCCATCTCTTTCTCAAGCACTTCACCTTCCTCCATTCTGGTCTGAATTTTCTTCTGGACTTCCTGCAGATTCATCTTAAGGTCTTTCTCTTTGTCTGCCCTTTCAACTTCAACTGGAACTGTTACATGGCGTTTATGTTTGTCCAGGCAGCAGACATAACAGATACACTGCTGATCAGTAATGCAGAACATCTTCATCACCTCATTATGAGTTGAACAGATGTTCCCTTTCAGCCTGTTCGATGGTTTGACCAGCTTGTGTTTGTCAAAGGCAGAGGAGTCATAGTGAGGCTGGAGGTGTTGCTCACAGTAAGAAACCAAACATACCAGACAGGACTTCACTGCTTTCAGCTTCTCTTCAGTGCAGACATCACAGGAAACATCTTCAGGTCCAGCATAGCAGAGATCAGCTGAAGCAGCTTGGTGTCCAGATATCTTCAAGTCCTCTACTAACTCTGCTAACATGCTGTTTTTCTCCAGCTCAGGCCTCGATATGAAACTCTTTGTGCACTGAGGACAGCTGTAGGCTCCTTTTGGATCCTCATTATTCCATTGTCCTTTAATGCAGCTCATACAGTAGTTGTGTCCACAGGGAATAGTCACCGGCTCCTTCAGTAGATCCCGACAGACTGAACAGTGGAATTTTACTGACTTGCTTCCTTGTTGTGCCATTCTGTGTGATGAGGTGAATGCCAAATAGTTTCACTGTGAAAAGAAGACGGATGTATCAGGTCATTCCAGAAAGGCATACGTCACACTCTTAATTATCCACCCACTATCTTCTGGTTATTCAAAGTTGGTCCACAGTGACATCAGGCTATTCCAGGTTTTCGGGTCCAACTGAGGGATCCCAAAGTATTCTCAGACCACACAAGACATATAATCTCTGCAGCAGGTTCTGGCTCTACTCCAGAAAGCCCTCAAAACCATACAGCATACTTTGCAAGTTTGAACAAACTGCCTTCCCACAGGTCTGCTGCACCAATTTTAGAATGAACAATTCTCATATTATTCTTATATTTTTTTCCTTAGTGTGAATACTACCCGCTCCATTCTCTATGGGGGCTGAGGTCACATGAATATTAAAAAAACAGAAAATTATGGGTTTGGTACATCACCCTGAGCTACGCCTAGTGAGACCCCCAACTCTCTGTGAATGGTACTCATGGCCATTGATCAGTGGTTGTTGATCAATGGTCATGAGAATTTGCATAATTATGATTAAGGAACTGACCTCCCAGCCCATTGTTCCTATAGTGGGCTGGTTTCAGTCATTATGCAAATGTACTGTTTATAAGATTTGGGGAAACCTGCAGTCAGCTGAGACTGAAGAAGTCACTTGGATGAGTGACGAAACGTTTCTCCCACAAAACGCTACGTCCAGATGAACAGAATCAACTTTTGGAGGTTTACTTTCCTGGATGATTGAGAATGCATCAAGATATTTGATTTCATGCAGAAATTAAAGCAGAGTGAAGTGATGAGTGATGGACTGCTTGTTGTAATTAAAAACAAAACAAAACACACATTTCAAAGTAAAAAAGTAGTAGCTCTTCATGGGTCTCTGATGCCAATATTTATCAAGTTAAACATAATTAAAACATTAAAAGCTTTGCATTGTCACATGATGGCCTGTGGTGGAATAAAATCAATAATTTTCAGTCCACATAAAAAGAAGAGACCATTTTTTTCAGTTTGTATAATAAATAAATGTCTCAACCTTAATGTTTCTTCTAAGTGGTGTTTTACACATTTGCCACATAAGCAGGAAGTCAGGAAGGACACCAGTGTAAAAATCAGTTAAATGAAAAATGTGGACCGACCTGTTGTGGCCACTCCTGTGACAAAGGGAGCACGCAGAAGAAGCTATCATAGATCATCTACTTGTTGCATTGACAGAAGAATCATTGAGTGTCCAAAACATTGATTTATTTATGACCGGTTACAACTTTCATTATTATCATTATGTAATAATATCATATATTATTACAAATATTTAGAAGAAACAAAAATGCTTAATAAGTGCTGTTAATCAAGTATTGCTGGCTGTTTGTCTCTGAAACAAAGGTTAGATCTGTACATTGGACCTGTGGATTAAACTTGTTTGAAATAAATAAACAACTACATAGAAGTATTTACTTACCAGAAATCATGCGTCCTGCTTTCTTCACAGGTCAGATGGGACTGACTGTGTCTGACAAATACATTCCTCGAGACTCCTCCTTTGAGACGCAGGAGTTGCCAGATTGGGCCCAGTGAAGGAAATGAACTTTAAACGCTGTTGTGTATGAGCAACAAGTATGGTACTGCATATGCAGCATTTAAACAGATTCAATACCAAAATTACACAAATAAACATTACAAACCTGAATTTACACTAAACTGATTTCTTTTGTTTCTCATATTCAGAGTAGTTGGATATTTATGTCTTGATTCAGCAACCTGTCAAACTTAGTGGTTGATTTTTATTTTGTATGGCCAGGCTGAGAGGGCGGGCAACTGTCTTATTGGTGAGCCCATCAGAGGTGTCTAGAACATGTAACATTAAACTATTAACCAGCATTAGTCTTCCGTTGTTATTACTTTAGGGTCAGAATAAATGGCCAAATATGGTGAAACCTGCTAATGTGCCATTTTAGAGATCAATCATATTCTTACAACTGTTGTCATGGTACCTGTGCCTGCCCGGCCAGCCCAGTGTGGCTACAAATGTTTTTGTTATTGCTTTGTCTTTTCTTTCTCTCTCTCTCTCTCGCTCTGCCTGGGTGGAGCTGAGCTCCCGCCCTTGGGCCATGCACCTGCAGCTGATCACCTGTGATTCTGAATTTCTTTGCTGGCTCTTCTTAAGGCAGGGGGGCTGAGCTACTCGTCGCTGGAATATTGAGTAACTTTAGTTAGTAATACCCGACTCTGCAGAATTCAGTCGTTTCTCATGCTCGCTTCGGAGTAACCCTCGTTTCTGTGAGTAGTCCATGACCATGGACTACTGAGTGTGATTATGTGGAGGAGGAGCGGAGCGAGTGTGAAGGCTTTGTGTTTTCCAGACCCTGTGGATCCTCAAAACCCTGGTGTGTCCCCCCCTCCCCCCGTGCATATAGTGCACCCGGTGTGGATAAATAAAGAACTGTTTAAATCCCATCTCTCAGTCTGTGCCTCAGTCCGCTCCATCCCCATGACAGCTGTCCTCTTTTTCAAAACAGTAACGTAATCAGTTTGGTTGTCTCACATTTAAATGGCCATCTTTTACTTAATTATATCCTCCACAAAGGATATCACCTAGCTGGTTATCTACGACTTCATCTCCCAGGGCTGCTTTAATCTAAAGCTGAGCAGGAGGCTTTACAGACGTGTGCAGGAGCACTCTGTCAGAGAGTTTCTCTTTCTTTTACTGGGAATACCAAGAGACCAAATGTATGTTCTACTCTTAAATCTGCTTCAGAGGCTGTGAGACGCTTTTCTACGGCAATGAGGTGGTATGACTAACAGAATGACTGCTTTTGGAGTGAGCCAGGCCAGTAAGAACAGCCATATGCAACCAGGACCTACAGGAAGTGGTAAAGCCTGGAGAAAACCCACAGTCTGCTTTGAGCTGCTCTTGCTTCTGAAACAGATTAAACAAGCTCCAACATGCTAATTTGCATCTTTACCTGAGGAAGGACACGAGACATGTAGTTTACAAAGCAAATACTCTGACTTACCATGAGGTGGCAGCGCGGGCCCAATGGATCACCCACAAGCACACAATAAAGGACACAAAACATCTTATGAGGCTAAGTGGACTATATCTTTGGTTTTCCACATCAGACTTCTGAAAGTTCAGATGTGTAGCAAGATGGTTTTGGTTCATCCTCAGGGGAGAACTGCTGAGAAACCCCATTTGGTTTAGTGCTGTGAGAACCAAAGCGATAGATTATGGAGAAAACAAAGACCGTCTTGCTGTCCGGGAATTTAATTCCTTTGGGGGGGCTGAACACAGAAGTTCCTGGGTCTATTGCTTAAGACTGAAAAAAGGAAAACATGATACTTTCTAGGAAGAACTCTATACATGCATCACATTGGGGTGATGAACTGTCTTTATTATTTTGTACTGCTTGACACTTCTGTTTGAATTCAAATCATCTGAATGTTAATGGGAATTATAAAGCCTGTCTTGTCGTATATATTTCAACAGTTTCAAAACCTAAGCTGGTATTTTGATGAAAAAAATGACATATAATCAGCTGTTTAAAAGGATACTTTAAAAGTACATTTTAAAAAAAACTAACTCAACATTTGTATTCAGTTTTTGTGTGGATAGAGAAAATCCTGCATTATACTCCAAGATGCTCACTATACGAAATCTACTGAATTATATAAATATTCAAGGTGTGAAAAGTTGTTGGAATAAAACTAAACTCATCTTTATTAGACAACTATGTCATATAGGTCATCACAAATGTTACAAACATGATAACGGGTCAATAACAGTGAACAAATTCAAAACTAATGACATCATGTAACAGCTGGACTGATACAATAAATACTGCAGACACTATTAAAAATAGTCAGCCTGATTAACCTACTGCCCTCACTAGTTCATTTTTAACAATCAATAATTATTGTTAAACATTATTTTTTAAGAATGTACAACTGATTTTATATTATTATGGGTGTACTGAACACATCATTACAGTTATTTTCTTAAAATGCAAAAGATGTAAAAGGAAGAAAAATGATTGAGAAAGTTCATGAATGATTCATACAGTGAGACAGAAAACCTCACAGCAACAGTATAAACCGTACAAAATAATTCTCACATTTTGATTAATGATACATGTGCAGACACTGGCACTCATCATACCTAGCTGCTACTGAGTTCATGTTCCTGCACAAAGAAATCTATCAGATTTTAATCAATATTTCATGTTTCCCCGTGACACTTGGCTTAAGATGATGGCATTTGATCAGTGAGTAAAGGAAAGAACAAGATGGGTTCACAAACCAATGAAGACGGTCTACTTTATCTCATTAAATGTAGCAGTGTTGTCAGCCCAATAACTCTTCCAAATCCACAGTCCAGCATAGAGCGGCTTAGTGAATGTGGTCTGGACTCTGTGGAGGAGGGCCATGGTGTCAGAGACACTGTAGAAAGAAAGAACACCTGCTCTGGGATCCACGTACACTCCTACTTTGGAGGACAGAGGCCCTGAGATGGAAGTTGTGATTTTATTGTGTCTGAATTTGTAGCAGTCACCGTAACACTCTAATGCCCAGGATTTATTATTGCTTCCAAATTCACTTTGATCCAGTTTATTTTTATTCTTGTACGTCACGGCTACTGAAAGGCCTTTCCCTTTCATCTCCACCTCCCAGTAACAAGGTCCAATCAGACTCTCCTTACTCAGGACCTGCTGCTGGTTGGAAAACCTGTCCTTTCTTTGAAAAGAAAAGTCATTAGTTGGATGTTGAACAGTGTTTGACACAGATTTGTTCTGATTAGACAGAAATATTTTAGGGTGCACTGTATCTGAATCCATTGTCAGTTGGTACGAATGTTTTAAAAACTCATCTCTGGTCTTAGGCTTGCTTTGTGGCAATAAAACATCCACTGATCTCACTGTCAGAGTGATCTTCCTCCATTCTTCAGCGAGAAAAGCTTTGATTTTATCTCTGACTTCTAACACTGCTGTTTGCAGATCCTCAAAGTACTTAACTGGACACATTTTGAAGCTTGGTGAGTCTGTATAATCGTTGAGTTTGAAAGGCAGGGAGTAGCTGAGTAGAAACTCTGTGTTGTCCTCTGTGTGTAAAAGCTGCTTCAGCTCCTCGTCCATCTTCTTCAGCTCAGTGATCTCCTGCCCCAGCTTCTTCTGAAGCATTACAACTCGACTCTCTTCCTCTTTCTGCTGGAGTTGTATCTGCTGCTTTAGACTTTTTCCCTTTTCTTTAATGTAACTCACCAGCTCATTGATGATGGTCTCACTGTCCTTCATTGCTTCATCAGACGACACTTTAATCCCCTCTACCTCTTTATCAAGCACTTTCACTTCCTCCTGTCTTCTCTGAATCCTCTGCTGGATTTTTTGCAGAATCAGCTTGAGATCTTTCTGCCTGTGTTTCCTTTCTTCTTCAACTTGAACCGTGTTATGGTGATTATGTTCATTCACACAGCAGACATAACAGATACACTTTTGATCAGTACGGCAGAAAATCTTCATCACCTCATTATGAGTTGAACAGATGTTCCCTTTCAGCCAGTTGGATGGTTTGACCAGCTTGTGTTTGTCAAAGGCAGAGTTATAGTGAGGCTGGAGGTGTTGCTCACAGTAAGAAACCAAACATACCAGACAGGACTTCACTGCTTTCAGCTTCTCTTCAGTGCAGACATCACAGGAAACATCTTCAGGTCCAGCATAGCAGAGATCAGCTGAAGCAGGTCGGATTGCAGGTGTCTTCAAGTCCTCTACTAACTCTGCTAACATAGTGTTTTTCACCAGCTCAGGCCTCGGTGCAAAGACTTTTCTGCACTGAGGACAGCTGTAGGCTCCTTTTGGTTCCTCTTTATCCCAGTGTCTTTTAATGCAGCTCATACAGTAGTTGTGTCCACAGGGAATAGTCACCGGCTTCTTCAGTAGATCCAGACAGACTGAACAGCAGAGTTTTTCCTGATCCATTGTCTGTCCTGTGTGAATCTTTGTATGTGAAGGTTAATGTCAACCAGTTTTAATGTGGAGGGAAAAGTGGTGTGTATCGGGTTACACTCTGTTTCAGGAAATCACGAGGGAAGTCACACTTGACAGTAGGGTGTTTCAGTAGACAAATGTCATTCAGTGGAATTATTTCACAGTTCCCTTTTTCCCCCTTACTTGATTATGTATTTCTGTGTTTTTTTTTATTGTCCATGCTTTTATTTTGCATTTCTTTCAGTAAGCTTTACTTCTCTCAATTACCCACTCCTGGTTGAATCCACTATACTGGTGTTATGTATAACCAATTAGGACTAAGCATTGCTCAGGTGGGACCAATGGCATGTGTGGGGGTGGGACAGATGGTCTGTTGACAGAGAGAAGAGCAGGTAAAACAAGATAGGGCAACAAAGAGCCAATCAAGTTCAAAATTCAGAAGTAATGTGATTTCTTTTTACAGTTTTCCAACTTTCTAATTTTGGTATTGTTTGATACCA